TGGTATTTGATGCCCTAACTTACACCTGCTCATTAGCCCGGGTCCATTTGCTCTTCCTGACAGCGTGTGAAAAGGTCAGGCAGGAATTTCTTTTGTACTTTTTATCCTGCTTAATGATGCTTGATAAATAAGAAAATATATTAGAATAATTTACTTAAAGTTATGCATTTTATACGAATATAAAGTTGGGTGAAGTTTTTTATTATTTTTACGTGGATAATGCAAGCTCTCTTGAAAAATTTAGGTTGGCATTTGGATTTTTATTAATTTCTAACTATTTTATAACCTTTTCAACCTAAGAGCTACCTTTTCCATCACCAAGGAAGTGCTAACCTCTCAAAAGGCTCAAAGTTGTGATTGTTTTTCTGACCCTAAAAGATCATTAGCCGAAAGATCTCAGGAAGCAAGCTGCTTAGACATCATTTCACTCTTGATCGATGATCAGTTGGGTTGTTTTCGATGAAGTTGTCTCCGAAACAATCGTTATAAATGATCAAAGAATATATTGAAACAGACATTAATCTTAATTGATGGATTGGGAGGAGTATTTACAGCAGGACTACTGAAGAATGTGCGGAAGCGTCTTTATTTGTGACACTCCCAATGAGAACAAATTATCGGTTGGCTAATTGAAAAATTGATATTCGATGGGAAATATTAAGAAGTCATTTTTATTATAACTGTAGTAGAATTTAACAATTTAATTGTAAAATAAAGTGTTATTGACTGTTAAAGTATGCTTCTTCTGGTCGTGATTGTTATAATTTTATTAGATTTCTTTCAGCCTAGAAAGTATGGGAACTGACTCAGTCACGTTGCACATGCGGCTTAAATTTATGGCATATTCATACACCCAAAACTGATTTTAAATTGGTAAAATAAACTGATCGTGTATGCTCGCATTGTAATTAAGATCACGTCTTAGATTAAGTATTTAAATGTAAAGTGTATTTGAATATCAGGACCATAAATATGTCAGCTTAGAAATCGTGAGTACCAATTATAATTATTTAGGGTTTTGTAAAGGAAATTTACAAACAATTTGGTTGAAATTTTTAAGCAGTTTACCCAAACTTTTATGTTCGAAGTTTGTAAAAAAGTTTTCTTAATAATAAGTATATATAAATATTATTTGTTTAATATCAGGGTATTAAAAAGTCTCCTAAAGAAAGAAAGAAATAATTTTTTACCCCACAAAAAATGTATTTTTTCGATGGACAAAAATGGTTAGAATTGGAGTAGCTAAAAGGTGGCGGGGCAGTAGCACCTCCCACTCCCCCACTCATTACGTACATTTCCAACTTCTGGTTGAGTTGACGAGTGACAAGAAGGGGGTTGGGAAATGAAAGGGCGTGTGGAGGGGGCCAGGAGGAGCTGCTTCTGCTGGCTTTGGCATTTTCAATTGTTGCTAATGAGTGCCACAAATTAATTACGTTACTTCGTTACGCTGCCGCCGTCGACATTACATGACCATCAGGTTTTTCTTTTTCTGTTTTTTTGGAGGGTCCGCCTTTTGCGAGTGGGTGGACTGGCCGCCACGTACCAGCGATGTTGAGCAGTGATAGTTGTCGAAAATTAGCATAAATTTCTCTTTCTCTCTTGTGTACCTTTGATACCTTCACTCCACCTCTTGATTTCCACCTTGTTCGCATGGAAAATTGAGCAATTTTCCGACGTTTTTCATGTTCGTGCAGCGAGAGTGAATTATTAATTTAAAAATCCCCCTTATCACGGACAGGAAACTTCTATTCACGTTGCTCGATCTTATCAAACATAATAGATGGTCTGCAAGAAGAGAGAGAAAAGAGGAAAGAGGAGAAAACCCTTAGATTGGAACAAAGAAGAAGGCCTATCGATTGCCAAAGATGACGGCACACAACTTGACCGCAACGAATCCGATTCAGTTTCGGATTATCTCTTACACAATTGCACAAGATAATTGAGGTAACTCTGGGCCTATATATACATATATCAAAGAACGCAGGGCAGAACGGTGGCGGCAGGGGGGAAATTTATCAAACTCTCAGGTAAAATTGTTCAACCTCTGTCTGGAGTCAAAACCACATAATTATAAGGCTTAGGATTAACTCGGCTATAATTCAACTAAATCGGAATGGGATATAAACCCTCTGCCAGAGGTAAGAAGTTAGAAGTTAGTTTTTGTAAGAACAATTTTCTCATGTTATTAGGCAAGCAATTTTGGAAATTGTAGGCTCATAAATCCTTAAAAGGCCTTAAAATAACAAATTATTGGGTAAGAAATATTTATAAAAATGTGTTTTCTTTTACAGATTTTAGTTTTTTGTTAAATACTCTCACCAAAATCATATAACCTTTAAGATCAACTTTTCATTTCTCCTCTGAGAATACTTAAGACTCCTTCGATTTGATATGGGTTAGACTTTCCCTTTAGATAACTCCTCCGAATAGTGCCGTTTGTCAAGGTTCAACTCTATTTAAAGTAAATCTTTATTTATATACCCCTTTTTACCCCCATCTTGATTGCCAGAACAGTAAACCTTTCTTTTTGGCTAACTATTTAGAAGGAGTATCTGTAGAATGTATCTTTTGGTAGCCAAGGAAATCCTTGGTAACGTTTTCAGCCCTTCAGCGTATGTAAAATGAGAAATTTTTGACTTTACGCAAAGAATGAAGAGAGAAAAGCGAAAATGGGCAAAACGAATTGGGTTGCTACTTATTTACGCATGCACACTGGGAGAAATTTTGAGGAAAAAGAATAAAAATAAAGTTGTGAAGATTTTTTGTATTGGTTTTTAAATTTTTTAATATACCAAAAAGGATTATTTTTAAATCTTTTTTTATTATTAAAAATTGAAAAAAGCATTTACTAAAGCTTAAAAATTAATGTTTACTTTAAAATATCTTAGATCCTAAATTTGGGAAATAATTTTTTTAAATTTAGTTTTTTAATCAACTTCTAAATTTAAGATTAATAACATAAAAAATCTTAAAAAAATTATTTAAAAAAAAAAATTGTTACAGTGTCTTACCTTTTTCCCTCCTACTTTTTGGCCAAATAGTGGGGATTATTAGGGCTTAGTCGTGTGTGTGTGTGTGCGAGAGTGTAAGTGCGTGTGTGTGTGCTTGCAGGGGCGGGTAGGATGAAAAGTGTTGAACAGGAGAGGGGTAAATATGTAAGGGGCTAGCACAATTACACATGCACAAAGGATACGCCTAAGCGGCTTATACCAACGCATCCCGAACGGTTCGAAATGAAACCAAATGTGGCAGTGGCAGTCAGTGGTTGGAGGATGAAGGAGGAGGAATGAGGAAAAGGTGGGGTTGGAAAATGGGGCGCTGGAATGAGAGCGTACTCGCAGGCGGCTGCGGTTTCCGGCTTGGTAAGCGCCCTATTATGAACAGAAAAGTAACGCTAATGAGTAAATCAAGTGCACATGTGTGCCGTTGAACTGGAATACCCCTCGCAGGCCGAGCCCCTCTCTCTTAACCACTAGAGCCCCTTCCCTACAGAAGAGTGCTGGGCCTCCCCTTGCAATGCCCATGCCCAAGCGGATCCTTTGAAGCTGCGCCAAACGGCGTGTTGAGGCATAAATAAGCCACCTTCTTTCCCTCTACCTCACTCTGTAAGCTTCTCTGTCTCCTTTTCACTTTAGCCAGCCACTTGGCGCTGTTTTAATAGCTAAATTATGTAATCATGATGTGTGATACTAACACACACACACACACACACATAGCAGCACACCCAGAAGCCCACACATGTCCTGGTATTTATGCAAATCCTACCGTTACTTCTTCCGAGAAACTTTTACTTTGTTTTACACTGAGAGAAAATGGTTAAAGGTATGAAATGGAACTAAAATTGTAATAAAAATGTTAAGTTTATGTATTTTTATAATAAATAGAACATTTTTCAATCTCATTTAGTTTTAACTTTAAGTGATTTTTTTATTTTTAAATTAAATACAAATTTGAAATATTAAATTTTTGGGTCTGAATTATAACTTTAATGTTACTCATTGGGGTTACATTTTACATAAAATTTGTTTTTTATTTTTACAAAAAAATTTGATAATTAATATAAACAAATTTTTCCCAGTGTCTGCTCCCCCTCCCCCTGTCTTTTTAATTTGAAATTTTTCATAATGAGCAGCGCAATGGGTGGAATAAAGGCTGACGAGTAGGAGGTGCGTTTCGGGGGAGGTCGCAGTTCGGGACGTTTGACGTTGCCATAGTGTGAAGATTAAATTCTACTAATTAGAGATGCCAAGTGAATGTTCGCGCATTTGTGTGCGTGTGTGTATGTGTATTAGTGTGTGTGTGTGGTTAAGTGGGTGGTAAGGGGTGGGTAAGGAGGGGGGGTTAAGTAATGGCGTTGAACTGAAACCATCAAAGCAGCCAGCTTGGCAACACAATTCCCCTTAGAATCCCGCCAAGCCCTTGACTCATTATTGATATGCCAAGCGTAAGAAGTTCAAATCCTCGAAACAAACTACAAAGAACCATTACAAACACATACACAGAAGTACATCACCACACACACACACACACACACACACTGAGACACCCACACACAAAGACATATTTGCAATTTCTTTGGCGCCATTATAATCTTTGGCTTTCACTAGTCAACGCTTAGAATCCCGGGTTTTCATTCTCGATTGGCAGGAAAACAGTAATCCGGGTTCCTTATGGAATACGGATTATGATGAGGCTGCCGAGGGCGACATACATATTAGATTTTCGGTTGACACTGGAAACCGCAGCTTGGAACGGTTAGAAAAGCAATTTTAGAGATGGTTTTTTTGGAATCTTAAGATTGTCAAAGTTTATAATATTTTCTTGGCTTATAAGCAGTTTTAAGGAAAAAGCTTAGGCAAAAGTAAACCTTTTTATGCAGGGTGGCCCAGGTAGCGTTTGCTATTTGAAATATTGATAATTTTGAATTTGACATTTCAAATCTCATTGTCAATGTGTTAGATATTTAGTAGAAGGTGTGCGATTTACGCAATGGTTAAGCATACGCTCGAAGAAAATTGAGAAATATTGATATTTTTATAATGATTTTAAAGCGAAAATCTTCCATATATTAGAAACTATAAAGTTTTATGGTTTACTATGATGAAGTTTAACAAAATACTTACAAACTTTATTTTTTATACCAAACAAAATTTAAACAATAAGCTCAGTTAACCTTCAGATTTCCTTCATTTGTACATTTTTAAAATACTTTCTCCAGTAAGACACAATTTTGGCATTATAAAATGAATCCCTTTGCTTTATATCAAGACCCCATTCTCAATGAGGAGCTATCCATATCGGGCTATCGAATCGGCATGAATATGGTTCCCGATGAAATGGTAATCTCCGATCCAATCCTCCTGCGCCACATCCTCTGCCTAATAATAGTGGCCCATAATTTCTTTCACCTGTACCTCTGCTGCCGGCAGCTAAGATTGTGTAGAAAGTCCAAAGGGCCGCCGTATCAATTAAGGGGAATAATGTCCGATGAAGTCTTTACGGTGGGTTTATTGTTTCATTTTATATTTTATTTAATTTATTAATTTGATGCCTAATTACTAATAAATATATCCCTTATCATTATCACTTAGGCCTCCAAGGATAAGCAACTCCATAGTTCGTATCTGGAGATTTTCAATCTGATCATAGATTCTGTCTATAGCTGCCTGGACTTGTACCTCTCGACTTTGGCTTACTTTTGGGAACTGACAGTGGACTGGTACCGCTATGCGGAAGAAACTTGGTTAAATGTGACCTTTATGGCCATATTATCCTCTTACCTAGTGATCCGAATGTTGCCATCTTTGTGTTATGAGAAACTGGTCCTGGATGGCAAGTTCAATGTGGATCCGGAAAAGTCACCGCCTTTGGTGGGTTTGATCTGTGCTTTGGCTTTCGTTGTGGTTTTTCTTCAGGTGAGTTTTTTCTTTTCTATAACTTTTAACTCTTTATCCTTAACTTTACCTTAGATAGCCATCATCCCATTGACAGCAGTTTTCATGGTCGTTCAGCAGTTAAGTGTTTGGCTTTTTATAATGGTCGGCTGGCTAGTTCTGGTGGGCATTTCCCTACTCCTATTGGCCTTTGTCGGAGTCTTTGGTGTGCCCTGTTTGGGCAAGAGTCGTCGAATTGAGGGCGCGGATATTAACATTCATTTGCAGAATGTTCTAGACACTTTCAAATTTCCTGGTCGCCTTTATTTAGTTCACACCTTCAACGTGGGACGACCCACGGCCTGGGTGATGGGCTGTTGCTGTTGCCTGCGTTTGGATATCCATGATAACCTAAAGCTGAATCGTGGTCTGGATACGGATAATCTAGATGAGGGTCACGTGGGAGCTGGTCTGAATGAAGAGCAATTGGCAGCCTTTGTGGCTCACCAGTTGGCCCACTGGCGTTTGTATCATGTGATCAAGACCTTGATCCTGGTCTATTTGAGTCTTTTGATATATCTTATCATCTTTGGTTTGTGCTACAAATGGGAGACCCTGTATTCAGCAGCGGGATTTACCACATTATATCCAAGTACTGTGGGTTCTTGGCTGGTCTACAAGTACGTAATGCCCATCTATCAAGACATCAGCACTTGGGTGGTCTTTTTCTTTATACGACACTTTGAAAACGCCGCCGATGCCTATGTCGTCAAAGTTGGTTACGGCGAACTCATGGCGAATGCCTTGCTCAAACTCTTGGCGGATGATGATGATTTTCCGTATGTGGACCATGGCTATCTAATGTGGCATCGCTTACGACCATCGATCCTGCAACGCCTCGTGAATCTTAAGCGTTTGACTAGGATAGATGGAGTCTCGACTATATCATTCCTTTAAGAAATTTTCCAAATTCCAAAAATCTTAAATAAATATCTTTCGAATTTTCATTCGTTAAGTTTATAGAACTTGTTTAACAAATCTATCTAACATCTCTTTCATTTAAAAAGTTATTTTAAATATTGTTCTTGTTGTTATCTGGAAAATGCATGCCATTTTCCAACCCAGTGGAAAGTTTCTGCCTGACAGTCCTGGGATTTAACTTTAAGTGTAGATGGCCATAGCGAGAGGGGGAGAGTTTCCTGTCCCAGCCGAAACTTTTCCGTTGTGTTTTAATTAAAATTCGTTTCAAATAAGCCGCTGTCACACCACACCCTCCCCCACTCGCAGTGCTCTTCTTTTTTCTGCTCTTCGGGTGTTAAAAGCTAATTTCCCCTCGGTTCGAGGGTTGCACAAACCGCATCTGAGGCTGTGGAAAGTCTTTAAACTTTTTAAATTAATATATAGTAAGGTTTTGGTAGGCTAGGGGAAAACTGAATGTGTTTTTTGTACTTTAAATAGTAAATTTTGAATTATTTTAAAAGTAAATTTGAAGTTTTTTCAACAGATTTAAGACTTTTATCTTTTATCTTGTTTTCTTTTTGTGATTTGCTAGTTTCGAGGTAGTCTTAGACTTAGATTTTCTTTAAGTTCAACTTCAAATTTCTAATACCAATAGAAGTACGTACCATCTGCATCGATTGCTGACTGCGATTAGGAATATTGTTAACTTGCCTGTTGGCACAGGTTACCTACTTTGCGGTGGGCTTTTATTTTATTGAATTTTTTTCGCTTTTTATATGGCTTTTGCGGGTACATAGACTTTTCCAGCTCACTGTGCCGCTGCTTTGAGCCCACTCTGGCGTTTCATTGTTTTGGTAATAAAAACTCGCCCGCTCGAATGCCAAAATTCCCACAGAAATCCACCTCCCCACCCTTTGGGTAGCCTTACCTTGCTATAGTCTTTTTTTTTTATTATTTTTTATTGGTAAACACGGCTGGTGTCTATTTTTTAACGACCGCTCGACTGAATTATATTTTATTTTTCTCTCCAAATTTATTTTAAACGCCTTTCGACGACATTAAAATTAATGTCCCACCAGGCAGGGACAGTCATATAATAAGGGAAAGGGAAAAGTTAATGGAATCTTTAAATACCCTTTAAAAGTCAATATAAAAATTTTGATAATTTATTTTGACTTTAAACATTTTTAATTTATATTTTCAAAATCAAAATGTTATTTTAAATATTTTTTAATATAATTTTATATTTTTAGATCTCCAAAAAAATGATATACCCTTCCCAAAAGTCTGAAGAAAATTTATAAAAATTAAGACCAAAATAAAAAAAACACCAGCAACGATCGTAAACTTTAGGTGTCGAGGACTGGCAATTGAAATCGCTTACATTCGGTGGGTTGGGTGGGTGGTGGAATGGTTCTGGGTTGGAATGTAAAATGTTAAGTCTCATTTATGACCAGAACGATAAGAGGAAAAAATGCGAAGGACTCGCAGCCATCCCTTCCATTCATTTTCCACTTTGCTGCCATTTTGGAAAGCAACTTAATTAGCCAACGACTTTAAACGGATTGACGGATTGAAATTGGTGGAGTGGAGGAGTACGAAGGGGGCTCATACGCAGGCTGACAGAGTCTATCTACGAACGAGTTTTCTTGCTAAATCAATTACACAATCAAACGGCTGACAATTTTCAGCTCAAAGAGTGGGTGGGAGAGAAGGTTGGGTTGGTTGATACGTTTCGGCAGCATTAAAAAATATTTTTTTTTTAATATTTCAACTTTTTAGTTAGGATTTTTAGTGGATATTTTGTAGCTATCAAAAAGTTTAGAGTTTTTTAAGCTTAAGTTTTAGCTACTCTTTTGATTTCATTTTACTTAAAATTTTAAATGAAGTTTCTTAAAACTAATTTTTTATATTTTTGATCATAATTTCTTTCAGTGCAACGCATTCACATACAGATAAGTGAAAAATGAAACCTAACAGATGAAGTAGAGATGGGGGAGTGGGCGGAATGCAGATGACGCTACGCATGTGGAAATGGGAAAGGACCTCGGATAAATGCGTTCCTTTTACAATTCACTCTCGACAACCGCCTGCACCGCCCGCGGCGCCCTCTAGCGGTGACAAACAGAGAGCAGCTTCCTTGCAACAGCCCTTCACTCCACCACCCCCCCATCCTTCCGGGCACCATCCTGGCATTCACTTTGATGTTTTACTTTTACTGCCTCTCAACGATGGGGCTTCTGCTTGGGCTCTATGATGATTTCTTTCCTGAAATTATATTTTAACTGCCAGTCAGAGCCACCACCAACGGGCGCGCCTCATAATTTCCCCAACCAACCACCCACACTTTTCCTTTAGCTCAACCACATGGGGGGCAGGGCGCAAGTGCATCATGTTGCTGGGCCATAAAAAGTAATGACAGCTGAAATTCTTTTTGGCTCGATAATGACGAACGAGCAGAGAGCATGATGATAATGACGCACTGAAGTACTGAGGAAAATGAATTGAGCTTGCAACATAGCAAAAAATGAAGATTCTAGAAGAAATTTGATAATAAATGATTAATTTTTTAGCATTACAATGTGTTTTAAGAGCTGAGATACGGCTTTGTAATACTCAAATGAATAATTTATAAACTTTTATAGTTTTTTTTTTAATAGGTTTTTAAATACAATGTCTGAGAAGCCGTGTTGCCAGGTGATGAGCGAACGTATAAGCTAGATTTGTGAAAAAAATAAGCTAGAATAAGCTAAAATTAAAAAGAAAATATGCTAAAAAACAAGCTACACCCAAATGTGGGTGGCAATAGTCATTGGGCGGCTATTTTTATGATTAAGTCCTTAAATTTCCATTGAAAGGGCTGCTTTCTGCTCCTGTTTTCGGCAACATTTTGCAGGGAAACTTATTTTCTGAGATTGTGCAATTGAGCCCATTCTAGCACGAGCTTATTTGTTGCCGCTTGCTGCCTTTTCTCTAAGATTTTTGCTGAGCAATAAGCTCTTGTATCATCTCCTGGCTGTTTGCGTAACCACGCCTTGAACTCACAACTTTGGCGACAAGCATCGCGAAAAATTTGTTTATATTGGACTTTCGGCATTTTACCACTCGCTTTATTCAAGTTCACAACTCCAAGTGATTGCTGGAAACACTTTAGCCAACATATCGATCTTCGATGGCATTATCGATTAGAAATATATTCACGATCATATGAAACGCACATAACCATCGGCAAAAAAAGAACAAGCTCCGATATTTTCATGCCATAAAGCGTATTTTTCTTACGTAGCAACGCGTTAATAACGTAAATACATTTAAAGCTAGAATATTTCAAGCTATAAGCTAGATCGGGAGTTTTCAAGCTTTTCCAGTTCAAAATAGGCTAGAACTAGCTTATAATAAGCTAAAGATGCTGAAAAGATCTAATGTTATTAACATAAAAAGGAATCGTGTGATTTCCCTTTATTTTTAGCTGTACTGTTGTCATGTAGATTCTCCATTCCAGAGCTTTGCTGATTTTGCTTTTTGTATTGATAATCCAACGTCGAACTTGCCGGGACTGTAGGGGTCTTCGAACATTGCTTACAGCCCTGCCCATAGTCAGTCTTGTGTGATTTGTTCTTGAGAAAAGTCATGTTTCTTCTGGCGATACCGATCGTAGGAGCACTGATATATACCAAATTCTATAAAGATGTGGTATTTATTAGTTATGGGTAAGTAACTATAACAATAACCAAGAATAAGTAAGTAAGTTGTAGATTTTATTAAACTTTTATTCATTATAAAACTGCATATCAGATTAACGAAGCCAGGCAGATTATTGTGAAATTATTCTCTGAGCTTTGGATCAGTTTTTCTTTGTTTCTATAAGCTTATCCAAGCTTTAATCTATCTGTGAAAAAGCTTCTGCTAAATATTAAATTAAGATTAAAATTAAAACTAAAACCAAAATCTTTTTGTTCTTCTTTGCTTAACTTTTAGCTTTGCCAATTTCCATGAATTTGTAAATTTTTCAACCGAACTGCAGGAGAAGATTCCGGAGTATCGTGTTTATAGCGGTTTATTTAAACCTTCAACCGCCTTATATATATCCCTGATCCTACTACTCATTGGATATATACAATTCAGTTTTAACGGATTGATCAAAACTATTTGGAAAATGTGCACTGATAAAAAAAACGGACGTAATCTACTTTTAACATTTGCCTTACTTATTCTTTTTATACTTTGGGTGAGTCATGGAGTTAGTTTTTTAAATAATAATAATATTTTAAATACTTTTCTGTTTAATAGTGCCTGATAGAGATTGATATCTTTGAAGTAACCTTTGAGGGGTATACTATTTATTCCAAACAGTATTACCAAGAAGTTCCCAATATAGACGATCTGGTAGATATAATTAAAGAAAAGAGTTCGGAAATTCGATTACCAGCGCTTATTTTTGCTTTTGCTCCATTTATTATTGCATATCGTTTATTGCCGAAAAGCTACAAACGTAAAATGAAATAAATATGAAAATAAAAACTATTTTTATAAAATACTTTTCGAAGTGTTTTTATTGTATGTTTTTTAAAGCTTTTTTAGCTTGGCTAAAAACTGCCTGGATGGTCTTTATACGAAAAGTCTCAGAACCGCCTGTTGCCTCACTCGATGAAGATAATAGAAAACTTCGATTTTTAGCAACAGAAAAAACAAAAGACTTTTTAATCACCGACAAGTGAAGATGAAAATTTGCTAAAAGGTTGCCCTGGATCAGGGTGTCCAGGGACTGGAGCTACCAAATCATTTCCGCTACACTTGCTCATTCTGGGCAGCGCAAAAAGTTAATGTGCAGTTCTTAAGGCCAACAAATACCCTGCAATACATATATATATATGTATATATAATAATATTTGATCAACTCAATTTTATCAGAAAGTTAGGATGGTAAATATTAAATTTATTTTTGCTTATTTTTCTTTCTTCATAATTCTTATAAATACCAATATACCTCATCGAAAGGGCATAACCAGCAAGTTAGTCTGAGTTGGTGGGGAGTGTTCTATGAGCTATGTGAAAAACATCTGCCAACGGATGTGTTTGGCCATATCCGCCCACTCCCCCTCTAGAAGGAAAAACCATCAGAAGTGCACAGATAAACCCTTGGAAATGCCTCGGTGACCCGTCTGACCCGTCTCCACCTATACATATGTGTATATAGCCTCGTATATAGCCCCAGGATGATCTGGCCTGACTATTCATGCGTTTCAAATTTTCAATACACTCAAATGATAATCGAGACGAGGCGGCCCCTGGGAGGAAATTTGAGGAAAAACCAAGCCAAAGGATGATGAAAAAGCTCCGCATGTTACATTTTTAAAGCGTTGGCAAACATGTTTCGGTTTTTCTTTTTCCCCCAAATGCTATATCTTTGCGGGAGATTGAAGGGAAGTGTAGTAGCCACAGGCAACACCTGTTCTAATGGCCAGGGCTTATTAAATGGGGAGATGTCCAGCACCCTAAGGATTCGGCTTCGAATAATCGCATTGCCAGCAATGAAATCAATCAAAGGGCAAGCCCAAAGTACTTTTGCGGGAAAATAGCTTTTGAGGTTGGAAAGGCAGGAAGTTGGTGGAGGTGAAAAATAAGGGTTTGCCAGGTTGTCTTGTACTACCAAATTGATCTGAAATTTAATTTTTAATCATATTTTAACCTTAATTCCTGTACTGTTTATCAACTCTGAATAATATTTTCCAACGGACTGATAGCAGGTACTTCAAATATTTAATGTCTGAAAGAAATGTTTATTTTAAGCCCTTAAAATATTGACTTAGTGATAAGATTTGCTTTCAAGTTGAAACATTAACTAAATACAAAGGAAGTACAGTTTGTGTGTCAATTAGAAAGAAGCTTTTCCGCACTCTTGGCGGATTTTATTTAATTTATGACAAGTTCCTTTGTTCTAGCAAGCCAACATGCCGTAGTACGTACACCTTTTCAAAGGGTCTCCACTTGCATTTCCATTTCCATTTTTCACACACATCCACACACTCGGGCAAACATCACTAAGCGGAAAACAAATTAAACAACTCCCATGTGGTAGGTAGTGGGTTGGAAAAGTGGGTTGGCTGTACTTATTCGTAAGCTGCCTTTTGTTCGTCACGTTGGCGTCGCGAAAGTGCCAAAGTTTTTCATTGTAATAAATATTTTAATTTTGAACTTGAGCAATTAACCCGAGAACGCATGTGGAAGGGAAAGAGATGATGCCGCCTTGCTATTGTGATCGGGACGACACCACCCACTCGAGCCCTTTTCCCCCTCCCCCCAAACAATGTCCTTCAGCAGGCGTAACGCTCTCTATGAACATTATGAACTTAAGCTACCTACCTACCAACTCCAGCCCCCTTTTGGGCAAAACAACAACAAGAACAATAACAATAAGAAGCTGAGACACATGCCAAAGTGGTTAAGTCGGCATAGAAATGTTGGCAAAACTTTTCGGGGGGCGTCGCATTTAAATGATTTTGCATAATTCAATGGTGCAAAACTTTTCGAATCCGTTAAGGACAAGGAAAGAAGAAATTTGAAAAAAATAAAACAGAGAAACAGCGTTACGAAACTTGGCCCCCGAACTTGGTAATATATTTTCTTTAATTGCGCACAATTAATCCTTTTTATGATGCTCGGCTCCTTTTCTTTCAGCCAGGTGAGCACACCAGGGGTGGTTCATGAACCCCCCCACTCCCCTGCTCCCTTTACAGAGAGCCGTCAACTGGAAATGTACACAAAAGGCTTAATTATAAAAGTCAACACACGGCGAAAAGCGTTTCCACAAAGAAGCTCCGGGGGTTAGGCACTCTCTATATCATCCGCCGATGCACTCACTGGCACCCATTCACCAGGCAGACACACACACACACCCGAAACACCCAAAAAGCAAAAGCTGAATCTGAATCCGAATTCTAAAATAAAAAATACAAACAAAAAAAAACAAGAAATTCGTATGTAATTAAAATGAAATCCCCTTTTTACGACTGATGTGGATGGCAAAGATTTTTACGGTTATTTGTTTGGAAAAAAAAGTGAAAAACAGGAGGCCAGCAAAGGCGGACCTGCAGTAATTTAAACAGCGAGCAAACCGGAAAATGTGATAAGTTTTTTCAAGTACAGTGCTTGACATGACCATAAAGATTTTAGATTTTGTCCAAAAAAAAAGAAATTAACAAATTTTCCTTGATATGTTTTCTTTCTAAGAACGTTTTTTACCTTTTTAGCTATTTTATAATTTCTTTAACTTACACTTATGTAACGCCCTGTACATTACTATATGTATTTGTAAGTACACAATTTTTTGTTGATTAAGCAGAAAAGGGTTAGGCCAAATGACTGCCGACTGTTAATGAATGTTGGGCAAGACTTTCGTGGTAATACACAAACTTTGTGTTTTCTGTTAAGGGCCAAAGAAAAGGAATAAAAGAAATAATCTTTGAAAAAATATTGGAAAGGAAATCTTTTAGAAAGGCTCAAAGGAGAAGGAGGCCCTTTGAATTAACATGCTATCAGTATTTAGTCAAAAGAACAGTTTTCCTTTGGGCTTAATCAATTTTGAAATGCACTGGAAGATGGAAAGTTGGTTTTCTTTATGGACAAATCTTTTAGTTATGAATTAAATTAAATTTTATAAAATTAATTAGAAACTTAAACCTTCAATTGAATGAATCATTTGGTTATTTAACTTAGTAAAAAGTGAAAATAATATTTTATATATTCTATTTTAATTTTAAAAAGATTTATTTGGAAAAATTATGAAAGATTTGATTTACTTTAAGCAGTTTTTAGAATAAAGCTAAATCGTTGAAAAATAATTTTAAAAATATAAAATTTCCTTTAATACTGCTTCATTAAACTTCCTTAAGTTTAATATTAATAAATTAGGAATATTTTTATTTTCTAAACTTATTTTTCCCAGTGTCCTGTAGGACAGTCGCTGTGGGCCAGTTCTATTTGCCAGTTTTAATTATTGTCCGTTTTTATTGCAGTCCGCAGATAAGGTCCGACGACAGGGATATGGCCTTCGGTGGGTCGTACCGGGGGGTTTTCCTCCTTTTTTTTTTGGGTGGCTGTCAGTGTCAACGCAGTCATCGTCACCCCTTTTTCCCAGAGCTCGCTCTTGCCGGCCTTGCCCCCTGGCTTTTCCCTAACCCGCAATCGCAGTGCAGCATCAGCTGGCGATTAACTTTTCAAATGGGAACCCTTTTTCGCGCCGCTGTCGGCGATATGCTAATGATGACCACCAACCTCCGCACCTTCCCCTGATACGTATATATATATATATATATATGTGTATATAAGTACAATCCCTAGCCGATTCCAGGGCCCGTGTCCGCCATTCGATGCCCGCTGGCTGTGATGTACACTTTTTGTGTTTCATTATTCGCCACATCCACATCCACATTCACGACCAAGTCCTCATCCACATCCACATCAACATCCTTCTTCTGGTGGCTGCTTGTGCTTCTGCTTCTGTTCTGCTACGCTTTGCTTTTATTATTTTCAAGTTTAATTAACTTTCGTGTTGCTTTCAGCAAGCGAGAGGAGCAGCAGCGTACATAAATTTCGAGTGTTGCCCGTGGCCTGATGGCTTTTGGCCGACTGGGTAGCGGAAAAACGATGGCGGATGGATGGAAATTTGATACGATTCGGTTGCCAGTTGCCAGCAGAGGCAAAAAGTAACAAACACATATACTGAGAGAAGTCTGCGGTTCAGGCAAAAGTCAGAATCGTGGTCATTAATAAAGAAACGATCTCAAAGCACTTCATTTGACCCATCTGACTTGAATTTTTCATTGCTTGTTTTTTTTTATTGCCGTTTATTCAATCAACCCCGCTACGAAAATAAGTAAGGAAAATGTATTAAAAAGTAGAAAAAGAGTCAAAAAAGTGTTTATTTTTAATTCATTAATAGATGGACTTAAGAAAAGGAGTTGCGGAGAAGTTGAGGTACTCCATGAGGAACATCCGAAGGACAAGACCAAACTGCTCTGTAACATTATAGTCCACATTCCGCTCCACATCTTCAGCTTGATGCCAGACAGCTGGATACTTTTCAGCTATTAGATGGACTACGGACACATTTCGCCTTATAAAGGGCAGATGATCATCATCTGAGTCTTGGCCAAACTCTGATTTAAAAAGATGATGTTCTAAATTAAGAATTCCCGCCTTGGCAAGCTTCTTCTCCAGTTGAACAAATCTATTGTACCATTCCGAAGTATCTGGCAGATAATTCTTAAAGCTCAAGTTCTTGGCTCCAATTAAATCCAAAAGCAAAAACAAATCAATTTTACCAAGAAAGCCTTTGTCCTCCCAAACTTTCGCCAAATGCCGAGAGCCGTATAGGGAATCCGTTTCTGACCATTTCTCAAAAGCCTCCTCACCATCAAAGAAGACTAGCATTAAGCTGATTTCAGATGACTTTAACCGATCATTAAGTATTTTGGCCATATTTAGTAACAAGGCACATGAAACTGCTGAATCCGTGGCGGCCACAAAATTAAAGTTCTTAAAGTATTTGCTATCATAATGGCAGCCCAACATTAGATTTCTTTGGGCTTTAGGATTTTTCTTAGCCACTATATTCTGGAAAGTTAGGTTTCCCAGGATAGGTACCTTCTGCTGGAAAATGTCCAGCTCTACATTCCATTTAAGTTTTCTTAGATAGTCCACTATGTAATTTCTTACTATTGCATGTCCTGGAGTATCCACTACCCTCTTGACCGAAATCCTTTGCACATGTTGACGAAGGTCTGTCGGATCTGAAAGTCCTGCCAGGTATTGCATATGGCTTAGACTCAATTCAGAGGGCTTGTATGTCAGGGTTCCATTATGGCCTACTGATAAAACATATCCTTGAATATTTTGACAGATTAATAATATGAAAAGTATGATTGTAAGGAAGATAAACTCTAAAAAGCTTCCACTGCAAGGCATTTTCTATAACTAAGAAGATGAGTTTACAAATTAAAGAATAATTGTACCCTTTAGAATCAGATTCGTTTTGCACTTTTAGCGTTAAAAACTAATTCTTAAAAATTATTTGGAAGAAAATACATTTTTAAAAGAGTTAATTTTAGGTTTAAGGTTTGCATATTCCGAGTTTTAAGAATAACTTTAAAAGTTCTGTGTTTTGTTAAGCTTTAGTAACATGATTCTTGGTTAATCAGGAAATACATTTCCATTTAATTCTAATAAATAATTCAAAAACTTTATTGTAAGTAAATATGTCTTTATTTTGTATATAATCTTTATTAGATCTAAAAAAATACTAATAATTCCACATTTTGTATTCCCATCATCAGCCAAAAGCAAAGCCATTCTACTTACAGGCATAAATTCAAAATTAATTACTTTAAGGCTAATCAATTTTCCATGCACGAGTAAACAAAAGACTTCAGGAAGAGATCTTGAGACTGAAGAATATAATATATCTGATCGATTCTGTGATAGGGCTGTAATTACTCGACATTGAATGACTCAGTGGCAAAGTAATAATCGCAAAGACGTGAACCAGTGCTCAAGGCATCGGAGGAGATCCAAGAGAATTACTTAATGCCATAAGGCATAAGGCAAACTGTTCGACAAGTGCTTACGTAATTCCGCATGCTTATATAATAAATGGCAACACCAACACGAGCCACATTCATCTAACGCAATTTGATGATTTCTTTTAGGGGCAGAGTAAGGCAGAGAGGCATGAGGGGAATTGACTTTGGGGCTGCCAGTCTGTCTGTCAATTAGACCTTAATGTATTGTACTTAAAGTTATACGCAATTACGATAGAACTTCATCTGGAGAACTGGTTTTCAACTTCTGTCCCAGCGATAAACAAATGAACACATAAGCCGACCCAGACACTCCGATACTCTCAGACAGTCAAACCTCACTCAAGTGTCTGCCGAAAACCAAATGAGAAACAGAAAAAAAAAATCGAATTCGGGGCAAAGCCATTCTAGTCGAAGTTAATATACACTCGGAAAGTGATCTAATCTTTGCCAAATCGGTAATATATTTAACAGAAATTTTAGGAAAAGTACCAAAAAAACATAGGTTATGATTCTAGGATGTTATACAAAATATTGACTCAATGAATTTATCTAATTTAAATGTATTATTTAAATAATTAAAAATAATACTAATAATATTCTAAATAGAATGACAAAATGACAAGTTTGATTATAAGACTTATAGGGATAGGATGGGCAGAGGTCTTATAAAATTCCTGTAAAATCAAGAAAGAAATGTTATATGACCTTCTTTTTAAAGATGAAATCTATTACATTATACCTATGTAATTCTAATTCAATTAATGGAAATAGGTAATAAAATATATTGGCTATAAACTAAATTTCAAATCACTAGCTGGAAGTGAAGTGAATTTATTGGGGACCTGTGTCTGGGTCGCTTCTAGCCCTGCGGGTTCTTACGATTATTTTCTTTCGTTTTTTTTGTTCTGTGGAGCCCATCTGTTCACTGGGACTGTCTGTTGGTCTTGAGATTTATGTCTGCAAAACAATCTTCCAGTCAAGCTAACAAACAAGCATTGTTTACCAACCCCGGCTGGTTTTGATACCCTAAAGAATGAGTCTTACGGACAGGTAAAATCATTAGCCACTCCGTTGATTAACTTCTCTTTCAAATGCGAACTTTCTTAGACAATAGTTTACCTTTTAAGGACTAACCAGTTAGCTAATGTTTATTTCATTAGCGATTTATGCGAAAAGAGTATTAAATATTCACTTGATGTTTTTGTTTTTCCACTTTTTAATTCCTTTTTTGGCATTAGTTTCATTTTTGCAAGTTTCTGTTTCTCGGTTTGTCGTTTATTTATGAATTTATCGTATTCTTGAATATATTAGCACACTTAGCTGGGATTTTTTTTGGTGATTTTTTGTTGTTGTTGTTAAAATATTAGAAAGCTTATAGTCCGAATCCGTTTAGCAGACATATAAATATTCAGAGGATTGTACGGCGCCAAGTTTATTTATCTAATCCATTTGTTATGGCCTTAAACGAGGTATTTTAATTGCTCAGGTTATGTATGCTTTTAACTTGAAGACCTGATCTTTGAACGCTGAAGGATTTGCTTGATTTCGATTCAGCCAGCACTCCAACCAAAACGAAACTGCCGTCCGCCCCTCAAATTGGATGTGAGGGTTCATCATCACCGCCCTCAGCACTCACCTGGAATTATCTCCGCCCCACCATCACCATCGTCGCTTTTGGCCCAACCCAGGACCACTTAAAAGGGGGTTTGGGGGTCTTGCTACGGATGGATCGAATGTGGGGGACTGCAAGATCCAAGACTGTTCGTTCAGGCTGCTTCAAGATTGAGTCAAAGATACGGTGGAGCAACACGCGTCCGTCGTTCGATGTGATTGCTGATACCCTTTATGAGGATAATTTCTATACCTCGGGTATATTGGTACTTACAAAGGCTTAAATATGTATAATAATAAATATCATATATATTTTTTTTTTGTTTTAAATTCGTTAAATATAAGTTAAATCTGGTTTTAAAAAGTGATCTACATAGAATTTTCGAAGATAGTTGTTGAATTACAGTTAATATATCGCATTTATATACAACAGGCTGCAAGGGTACTACTATTACTGAAACGGTACTTTGAAGTTCGATTCCTTTCGTTTCTTTCTTCCTTGTCTTCCGTCATTTCGGGTCGCTCGATCCCCAAACGCTGCAGGCTCCTCTCTCCGAAGTCGAAGTCGAAATCGGAGTTAAAGTCGGAGCATGAGGAAGAGGAAGCACAGGCAGCACATATACATACATACATATGGTAACCGAGATTATACAGGTACGTGTGGATGTGTGTGGGGGTTCGAAGGTGCGGCTGTTCGGCTATGGTTTTTGTTGCTTTTATAGTCGATATATAACGTTGACTTCGTATAGTGTTTTTTTTTTTATTTTTTGTTGATAATTTTTGTTGTATTTTTTTGCTGCTTTTTCTTTTCAGTTGTTTGCTGTGGTTAAGGTTGTTGTTGCTTTTGTTGTTGTTGCTGTAATGGCTTTAGCCTGCGTTTTGATTGCAGTCACCATTGTTGTTGCTGTTGTTGCTTTGCCTTTTTCATGCCATTTAAGTCTTATTTATGGTTCTCGTTGATGATCGTGTTGATGGTCGTACTTTTTTCCATCCACTTTGTTATTGTTGTGTTGTTTTTCAGCGTTTCTTTTCCCATTTTTGTTTTTCATTTTCGTTTTTTTCTTCGTCTTGTGTTAACCTTTTTTTTCGGACTGCGGTACACTGTGTCTGCGAGGGAGTTTTGATTTGATATGGGTCATGCCGGCATTATCTAGTCCCGCACATCATCCGTGGATCGTGAGACCAAGTGCGTGCTATCATCCCCTAAGGTATCATCGGGTCAGGTAAGTGCAGTAATAAAATTGTAGAAGAATTGACCCACTGATCCATCTCAAGATGCTCGGGGGGGCAGAAGGTATTTTCTTAGGGTTAGGTAAGGAAGGAATTAAAGAATTAGAATTTATTAGCACCTAGACAGGCTGTCTTCTGACCTGTTCTTGGCATAACAAGTTACCAAAATCGGGGGGTTTCTTTCTTCTTCTTCTTCTTCTTCTAAAGAAAATACCAAATGGCACCTACTACGTTTTAAAAATTAATACCGTATAAAGGCATCTTTCTGTGAAGAATTTCTTAAAAGTTAATATAGTAATACTATATATATCCACACTTAGTTTTTTTGTCGTTATGATTTTTTCAACGCATTACCATTCTTTCAGCTCAACATACTTGACATCATGCTTGCAAAGTGCATTTGCAGTCTCCTAAGACTGGCCTTTTTGGTCCCCTGCACTTCACTTTGATGCTTGATTTTTAACCTTCTTAGCTCACCTTTCCACCTTCCCCACCTCCCTTTCTCAGCGTTTTCATCTTTTGTTGTTGCTGGGTTTTCTCTTTTCGCCAATGCAACAACGACTTGCATACAAATAAACTAATGTATATATATGTATGTATGTATGTGTATGTGTGTATATATGCATTTCGTTTGTTTTCGTTTTTTACCCCAACAATATTTTGTGCTATTTTTTCTGGTATAATTTATTTTTATTTGTTGCGCTGTTAACTGCGAAATGGGTTTGCACGGTAGTCCGATTCGGAGTGGACCTGCTCAGGTTGCTGCACTGCAAGAAAATAGGTGTAGGAAATGAATGGAAAATATAATGATAGGGGATTGGGACTTAAAGACTTTTTATGTCTTAGTTTTAGAAAGAAATATTTTAAAAAGAAATATTAAAGTAAATTCTCATTTGACTTATTTTAGGAAAGGACTTATGAGAAAAATATTAATATACAAATTAAGATGTCTTTTTAAAGTATTTAATATTTAATGTTTTGCTTATAAAATTCAGAAAATATATTAGAAAAAGATAAAATATTTTTAAAAATTAAAAATTTGCGATAATATAGGGATTTATGCACTATTTTATTACCAATTTTTACCAATTTTATCCTAAAAAACTTAGGTAAAAATGTTTTTTCTTGGTTTATAAAATGATTAGCTGAATATGTGTTTTTTTGTTGACATTATTCTTTATTAGTTTTAAAACATTTGTTTAATATTTTATAATCATTAGTAATCCCAAATCTATAATCCATAAAAAGTTAACATTTTTTCTCTGATATTGTTGCCTTTGGGTCGCTGCAAGTGGCTGCTGCTGTTGAAGGCTTTTCTTTCTCGTTTGATTCGTTTGCTCCGCAATCGCAGGAAATCAATTATAAAAAACCTTTGCTGTTCGGCTTCACTGGCCACGTTAATTCGTGAAAAATGTTTTTCTTTTCTGTATTTTTTTTTTGTTTTTTCCTTTTTCCAGGTCTCAGTTTAATGTGTTTCTCGTTTTGTATTTCGCTGCTGCTGCATTTGAAAGAGTTTTCATTGTTTCTCGGATTGGAGTTGAAAGT